GTCTGTAAGGTCCCTCCAACCCAAACCATTTTGTGATTCTATTGACTAATTTACAACAAACTAAAGAGCAGTGAGGGGTATGGGATCTACCAACCAGCACAGAAATCAGGCTCTTTACTCTCTGAACTCAAAGCCCTTTACAAATGCTTATCAGGGAAAGCCAGCATCACAGTGCACGTCAAAGACAGACTGCCCGGTTAGAAGCAACCTTTATTTTTCCTACCTATATCTTTGGGTGCTCCCAGGTTCTACATGGAAACTGAAAGCCTGAAAATCTTACATTGTTTACAAGTTATAATTCTTCACATCAGTCAAGGCATAAAGAAAGATTTGAACACAGGAAGAGGACAGGGAAAAGCATCCCTTGGACAAATTCAGATTTCAGTGCTGGTAGTCATCCCTGAACAGGGAAATGATGTTTCTTAAAGCTTGTTTCAAGATGCAGGATCACTCTGAATTCTGAGCCAGAATAGCAGAGGTCAAAATCTAGCCCAGAGACTGAGCTGCTGAAGATAAGAGTGATTTTTTCCTCTACAAATCTGTCACCCATTAAAAGTTAGAGAAACTTCTTGGAAAGCTCTAAAGGCACACATCATTTTTAGCCATTTCTAAATCTGACAATTAAGTACTGAGCCTCATTCAATTCAGCTAAAACACAGCTAACAACTCTTGCATGCTCTAGAAGCTTATGCTTCTATAAAAGTTGCATGCAACACTGTCCGTAAATCTCATATTTAATTCCTAAGTCTTAAAACTTACTGTCCCACTTCATGTAAAACTCCAGTCAACTCCACTAAAAGCTTCTTCACCGAGGGTCAGAAAAGTCTGGTCTGCCATGGCTTAGAAGAGGCTCTTAAGAACCACTGAGTAACTTGATTCACTATCCTAGCGGTGACAGAATAACAGCAACATTAGGATGACTTTTTAGAGAGGAGAACTGGGGGAAGGGGGAAGAACAAAAAAAAAAAAAATCAAGAAACCAGTTCTGTCGCAAACAGCAATAAAACAAACTTCTTGAACAGACTTTCTTGGGCATGCTTTCTTTCCTATAAAGTCAACCCTATCTTGTTCTCACACCCTCTTCCTTTGTATTTACATCACAAACATGACTATCAGCCTCATTAAACTTTGAAAAAAACAGAACACTAATCTCTAAACCGAGCCAACAAAATATGCCCATTTGATTACCTCCCAACCCATCCAAAAAAAATAGGATATTATTATTACTCATGCCTGCAGTTTCCAAATACGAAGGTTAATAAAGCCATTTCATTCCCTTGGAACCAGTCTAGATTGATCTGTCTTTCTAGTTTATCACAATCTCCCAGCTGTGGGAGATAATCTACATTAAGAAATGGTGTCCCTGTGATTAATTACAGTCTTGCAGGCCACAAACATATCCATTAGATTTCTCAAGTTTATCTGATAAATATATTTCAAGGGGGTGTCAATGACTTTGGAAGATGGGTAAGCGTACTGCAATTGTACAACTTAAAGTCTACTAGTTACGAAACCCATTAAGAAGAGCTATTGCCTTCTGCTGCTGCATAATAGCACTTTGGAGAACAGGCCCAGACTGTCAGCCTAAAAAACAACAAGCCAGAATAAACGGATGCAGAGAAAATCCAGAACTAAACCTAGCTGTCCATGCATCCCCCAGCCCAGCATCACAGCCTTGAATCATCAGACACCAAGAGAAGCAACCAGAGAGCTGGCTGTGATAGATTGATCTGCCAGCCCTCTTTGGGCCATGGCTGCATTACACACTTCTGGACTTTCATGCCTGAGCACTTCATTAAAGTTTAGATGCCATCCGTACTGATATAAAGGTCAGAGTTCTGTTCAGAATCCTACTAAGCATCATCCATTTCTTGTGGTAGCAAGGTCCAAAAAATTGCATTACTCAGAGTGCTGGATTTCAGAAGCTATTAAATAGCCATCATGAGACAGAAGAAGATTCAATAAAGTGTGGAATTTCCCTTTATACCAATCATCATTTAATATATTTGAATGATGTCCCTTTGATACCCCAGTCTTTCAAGTTTTGGGCTCGTATTAAGTGTAGAAGGTGAACATCATCACCTTGAACAACATTCCTTCATTCCTCAGTCCTTAAAAATCTCTCTTTTCCAAGGAATAGCGTGTAATAACTACAACTGTACCAGGAAGATAGGTTCAGTCATTCACCTTGTACTCCTGGATCCATCTGCCTGATCCAAATAATTGCAAAAATCCAGTACTTGTCTCAGATCCTTAGGCTACACTTTGTAAAACACAAGTAAGCCAAAGCATACAAAAAAGACAGCTGTAGGCATACAGACACAAAACAAGCTGTAAAGCAATCCAGTCTAGATTCTCATCAAGTAATAGGAGATGGATGCAAAATTAAATTACTATCACCTGCAGATATTTGAGTAAACATTCGTTAGATATACTTGTCTCTACAGCCTCACTCTGCTATCCCACAGAAAGCAAACCAACAATGAATTGTGAGAATCACTAGCAGATAAGACAGGTGTGCAGCTAGTCATAAGTGGCAAAATGCCTCCAAAAGATCAGAGCTCAATCAAAAAACACTTCAAGAAGCTAACTGCATTGCACAAGGCAGAACCTTCTACTCTATTGCCCATAAGCGGAGTTAATATACACAACACTGAAATCCCAAAAAACACATGCTGGAAACTGCCAAGCGTATTTCAAACCCAAGACACTCTGCACGCAAAGTGTTTGTGATGTAACCCTGAAATACCCACATTTTCTTTAAACTCACTGGCTTGTACATAGGCAGTTCAGACAGGGAAATCCAAAGCACTTGCCTGTATCTGTAAGGATTACTGCAAGACAACAGATTACATCAGTGTACATGTAAAACAAAAGTGTCAGACTGATCTTACACAGTCCAGCATTGTGGGGAAAAAAAAAGTGACTGAAGGGGATGACACAACTTACCTGAAAAAAATTCCTCATTGCACAAATTCATAGCCACTAAAGTGAGAACATGACTTAAGAAACTAAGATGCATTGCATTTAAACAACTGTATCTTCTAGCCTTGGAGCAAGAGAGCCCAATCATGATGAATTACTTTCATAAATGCAGATCATCCTGCTCTTTCATATCAAGTCTTCAGCATTTATTTTCGTTACAGTAAATAACTGCACCTAAGGGATCATTTTACAATTCAAGTGTTTGCATAAACCTGTTGGCAAGTCAATGCACACATTCCCCAGGAGATTCTCCACCAAGCCAAAGTCATTCTTTTTCCAAGCTAATGATATGGATAGCCATCAGTTCATGAGATATTTACACAGCAATATCCTTTGTTTCCAGGGTGATGGCAGGACACTCCTATTCAAGAGGGTCGAGGATTAACACTGAAGTCACCACTGAAGGCCCTTTCTTCATTACCTGCTCTGGTTACAGAAACATGAAGCTAGCAACCTAAATTGCAGCAGCTAGGCAGATCAGCCACACAAAATGGGAATAAGGGGGCCAGTAATGAGAACTACACCTTGTAAGGTTTCAAAATAAATCCAAAATCCCAGGACAAGTCTAGAGTAGTGCAGCGGTGTCAGCACCAAAGAAAAGCTGACCTTTGTTTCACCAGCTGACAACAGCTCACATCCAAAAGGAGCCAGGACGCTTTGTGCACAAGAATGCATTTTCAGTTCTTGCCATGGTCCCACACAGAGGTGACTCGCACTTTAAGGATTAATTATTTGCAGAAGCAAAAGGGCAGCACTCAGCTGTCAGGAACAAACAACTGTTTGTCATCTCCTCCAAGAAAAAGGCAGCAGATCAGAAGACTGCAGTTTGCAGCTCCAGATGAGCACTTGTGCTCAGACAGAAACTGTCCTCTCAGAGAGGCTATTTAGGTCTGAGGCACAAGAACCTGACCTTCACACTTGTGCTGAGTACCTTGCAGGTACCACACGCAGGCCCCTCTTACACACACACTCGGGCAGGCCCCTTCCTTCCCTGGTCTCAAACCATCTCACATGGCATGCTGCTACAGAAACCGCAGTTCCTTTCTTGTCAGTGACCTCTAGTGGCAAGCACAGACAGGAGAGGAAAAAAGAGGGCCAGCTCACAGCACAGTTACTATGAAAGAGATCGATCTTTTTCCCCACCAACAACCGAAAAACAAACAGTTCATCCTTCTCTTGGAAACTACAGCAGTCAAGTCAGGGATGGAAGCTCTCACACATTCTGACCAACCCCATTGGCAGGGCTACTCTCCTGGAGTCAGGCTTCACTATAAACAACAGATTATCTTCTTCCCACTCCAAACGGTAGGGATCAGAGATCACCGTATTCCCCTCAGTTTCCTTACCTCCGAAGGATTCAGCTTCCTCTAACCCAAGGCTTGCCTTGCTATAGCCCAGCTGCATACCCTTGCCTCAGAGTGCTAAGGAAATTGCTAAGGTTCAAGAAAGCTGTGAGAAGTCCATACCACAGCACTGTGCAATGTAAGAAAGGTGTAATTACAGACAGAAGTACGTGTAGGTTTGTTGAGATAGGGACAGGTATCACCTGACCTTAGGGCAGCAGCAAGATGCAGAAGCTGTTCGAGCAGTCTGTTACCACTGCACCTGCACTGCTACCACCCCGCTCCACTCCCTGCCATGATGTGCCAGCACATGGCATGCCTGCATTTCAGCTGATGTACCCACAGCCAGATTTAACAGGATTTGTGTTTTGATACTGGACCATAAATCACAATGGCAGAGTTGTGCTTTCAGATCTGTGATGTTCACAGTGAATGTAATTTCTCTCAACTGAAGACAATGTGTTACCACACAGCATTCACTTCATGAACAAGCCAAACCCAGTTAGCCAATACCTAAATCCGATATACCTACAAGCATATTCTGGGCTTGGGACAGGTTCTCAAATAGTTCATGTTTTACTCTAACTGGACTCTACAGGTTTGAACCCAGCAGACAATATTTGAATCAATGATAAAGAGCTGGCAGTTCTATACTTGCTGCAGTAGCGGTACCTTGGCTTTCTTCATGTGGCTCATGACATTGCCAAGATCTTCAACATCAATGACAGAATTTGTGCCTCCAACTTCCTCAGCATCAGCCTCTTCCTCACTAGTGGTTTCAACCAATTCTGCCTGCATAAGAGACCAGAGAAAAAAATGGGTACATATCTGCTGTGTTAAACAGAAAACCTGAAAATAGCCCCAAAGTTACTTCTAACAGTTCAGTAGCACATGTACACAGACCATCTAAAACCCAGCCCAGATTGCCTGTCTCCAAATCCACAGTGCTCTCTTTCCCTGTGTCATCTGCCCACCCGATCACTTAAGAAGTCATACAGAGAGGTCTGATTCCTGCTGTATGCTATGACAGTCTGGAAGCCTTAACTCCTCCTATTACCCCTGGCCTGAACAAATAGGGGAGAGAACTGCTTTCCACATCAAACTGTTCATAGAACAGAAAAATTGTCTCCCTTTCTGTATATAGCCAAGTTACAACATAACAGCACCAATGTAACAACAAGATCAACCTCATCTCCTTCCAGGCAACCTGCCTGGTGAATGAGGGAAAGGCTGTTAACATAGACTACCTAGACTTCAGCAAAGCCCCTGACACGATCTCCCACAGTATTCTGGAGAAGCTGGCAGCCCATGACTCGGACAGGTACTTTGGAGAAAAATTAGGAGACATTTATTCTCAGAAAGAGCAGTCAGGCATTGGGACAGGTTGCTCAGAGAGGTGGTGGAGTCACTGTCCCTGTGGGTGTTTAAGGAAAGGTTGGATGTGGTGCTTAGGGACGTGGTTTAGTGGGTGATAGGGATGGTAGGGTGATGGTTGGACCAGATGGTCTTGAAGCTCTTTTCCAACCCTAATGATTCTGTGAAGATGCATTCCTCCTGTTCCTGCAGCAGCCAGCATCCTCAAACCACCTCACACAGAAGAGCTCCTGTTTTCCTAAGGAATTCTACGTGGCCATAGCAATCGTTTCCAACCCGTAATAAACGACATCCAGGAAGGATTAAGTACCACAGCAGCTCTGGGTCTTGCATGCAGAGCAATAAAGGATTGTGTATTCAAAACCTGCAATCAACAAATATCACAGAATGGTTGAGGTTGGGAGGGACCTCCAGAGATCATCTAGTTCAACCCCTCTGCTCAAGCAGGCTCTCCTAGAAGAAATTACAAAGGATCACATCCAGGCAGGTTTTCAATCTCTAAAGGAGACTCCACAACCTCTCCGGGCAGCCTGTTCCAGTGTTCTGTACTGAACCATACCCGAACCCTAAAGAAGTTCTTCCTCATATGGCAATGAAACCTCCTGTGGTTCAATTTATACCCACTACCCCTTGTCCTATCACTAGCTACCACTGAGAAGAGTTTGGTCCCATCCTCGTTACATTGTCCCCTCAGGTATTTTATTGAGAGGGGATCTTATCAGTCTCTATCTCCTCTTCTCTAGGACAAACAGTCCTAACTCATTTAGTCTTTCATCATAAGGCAGATGCTCCAGTCCCTTAATCATCTTCATGGCTCTACGCCGGACCCGCTTTAGATGTTCTATGTCCCTCTTGTACTGGGGAGCCCAGAACTGCACACAATACTCCAGATGTGGCCTCACCAGAGCTGAGTAGAGCGGGAGGATCACCTCTCGACCTGCCGTCCACACTCCTCTTGATGCAGGCTAGGGTCCTACTGGCCTACTTGCCAGAAGGGCATGCTGCTGGCTCACAGTTAACTTGTCCACCACAACCCCCAGGTCTCTCTCTGCAGAGCTGCTCTCCAGCAGGTCAGCCCCCAGCCTGTACTGGTGCTTGGGATTATTCCTCCACAGGTGCAGGACCCTGCACTTGCCCTTGTTGAACCTCAGGAGATTCCTTTCTGCCCACCTCTCCAGCCTGTCCAGGTTGCTCCAAATGGCCGTGCAGGCCTCTGGTGCGTCAGCCACTCCAACAAGCTTTGTATCAGCTGCAAACTGGCCGAGGGTGCACTCTGTGCCTTCATCTAGGTCATTGTTGAATAAATTGAACAGCACTGGACCCAGTACTGAAACCTGGGGGACACCACTAGCCACAGGCCTCCAACTAGATACGGCACTGTTGAGCATATGCTAGAAGTGATTATGGGTAGATAAAGTCAAGGAGGTACAGGACTTGCTCAGATAACAGTACCCCAATGCCTTTGGAAAATCCTTGGGATACAAAGTGCTTGAGCTTCACTGAGTTGGGAGCATGCTACCTGCTCATAGCAAGCTAAACGCTTCAATCTGGCTGTGAGACAAAGCAAAGACTGGCTCCCTTGGAGCATCTGTCACAACACGCATCTCCTCCCATATCATATAGAGGCTGTTCAGTCTAAGTCCAACGCTAATCCTTGGTCCTTCTTTTTGGATTACTTATTCTGCTTGCCTCTCATCCCTCTACGCCGTAACAAACAAGTATCAAGCTCCCCACAGCACCTCTCTGGGCTGTGGGATGAAGGAGAAGAGTCAGACAACACTCCAACAAGCACTGAAGCACTGAACCAGAAATAAGGACTTGTGGATTTTGTCTCTACCTCAGCATTCTCATACTCTGATGCCCCATGTTCATGATCTGAGCTCTCCTTGCTCTGCTTCCCCTGGGATTTGCACTTCCCTTTCTTGCACTTCCCACTGCAGGGCTTCCTTTCCCCTCTGCAGAGAGCCTGGAGACAACTGAGGAACTTGGTTTTCCAGGCTTCGAAGTCAGCCTCAATGCTGCCATGCTTGCTCTGGGCCACGTTGCAGTCCCCCTCAGCACGAGTCATGATACGGCTGGCACTGAGCATCCACAGCCATCTGTCAATATTTCTTCCAACCTAGGATGGGATAGAAGTTAAAAGGAAATTTAAAAGTAACAGGCAATTAAGAAAGCAAGGACCAAGCCTGGAAATAAAACAAGCTACACAGGCTGCAGGACAGCAAGACATGGACTTGTAGACTCCCTCTAACCTGCTGAATCAGAGCACAGCCACAAGGCACTCTGAATACTGCTGAGCAGCCTCCAGCTGTAAATACCCCTGCTATCATGGCAATGTAGTAAGTGAGGTGTGAGAACTAGCTTTGTGAGATGCTTGTTGGTTAAGATGTCTACATATATGACACTTCAGGTGGCCCCCAGCTACATAAAACCAACAGTCTGGTGGCAGTCACCCCATTTTTCTTCAACTTCAGAGATTAATTATCAGGCTTAGATACCAACGTATTTTATATTAAGAAACAAAGAACCACAGTAGACAGCAAAATACAGGAAAAGTTGAGAAAAGTGCTCTAAACTGAAAGGCAGCAAGTGAAAAGGCTTCTGGTAATGTGTCTTCATGCACTGAAAGTGAGCTTTCAAAGCTGGGAAATCAACTTAATAAGGATGTGGTAAATGTGTTCTCATTAGTCACTACCAAAACCACTCAGATTAATGCCATGCTTACAGGACTTGTCTCTGTCCCATTTCATAGGACAGCACACTTGCTTCAACGCTGCATTGCCTATGGCCTAAACCCAGCTCCTATCAAGTCCACACAAATGCTGTAATAGGAGCTGAATTCTCACACCTTAAGTTCCATACTAGGTAATATCAGTGTCTTCTCAAAATGATAGTACAACTCCACCTGACCCTAAAAACCTACTAGTGTCACTGAATTTTGTTGCAGTTTGGAAAATTTAGCCATTCAGAGGAATGAAAAAGTAATGGGGATACTCACCGTGTTATAATGATCAACATAAACTGAGTTTCCCAAGCCAAACACAGCATATCTCAGGCCCTTCAGGTAGGTTTTGCCAAAGCGGAAGTCATTTGCAGTCTCTTCTAACCACTTGCAGAACCATGCAGCACTCTCAGTTGGCTGTCCATCTGTGTACGTAGCTACCAAGAACACACAAATGTTCCTGCTGGTTGTCTAATGTATAAGAGTGGGACAGGAAAAAAAATCACTGATTATCAGAGCACTTTACATGAGGAAGAGCTGTAACACAAGGACAGCTTGAAGAAGTTAAAAGTTGTTTTGTGGTGGGTTTTTTTGTTTGTTTGTTTTTTTACTACTATGTGGGTTAAGAATGCTGCAAGTAATAAACCCAATGGTAGCAAGTAGCCATCCTCCATGCAAAGCCATCTTAAGCTAGCCAAGGGAAATCAAGCCATCTTGCTGTCTTCCCCCTACATAACAGGGACAGTAGTAAAACTGACATCCACCTTCCCTACCCCAGTGAACAGTTTCTTACACTCTTGCAGTGATAAAAGTCTCCCACAGATGCAAGACGGAACTATTAATATTTCCAGAAGAAAAAAAAAAACATCAAGGATTATTCAATATAAATATGCCACCCTCTTCCCCCCCCCCCCCCCGAAATTTTCTTAAGTCTTTGAAGGTTGCAGAAGTATCACTATTTGATCTTTGGTTTCCCCATGTGTACCCTCTCAGAGAGAACAGAGGGACCAGGTGCAGATACTCTCATGTAACTCACTCCTGAGTTACAGGAACCAGCTCATACAAAATCAGCATCAGTATCAACATATTGTAGATGATGCTCTTATAGTGACTTTCAAGATTACTGCTGAGCGCTGAAGGGCTATGCTCACCTATGTTTAAGAAGCAATTTGCAAACACATAGCTTTGGGGACTTCCAGGATAACAGGAGAGAAATACAAAAGGAAAAGATCCTTGACAATAACAGGAACAGTTTGTATTTATTACATACCTCCTCTGCTAGACAGTCATCTGGATCATAATCTCCCATGCTAATTACTTCCACAGGCAAATTAAGGGAAATAACTGCTTCAGCCAGACCTTTCGCAAATCTCTGAGAAATGTAGAAAATTATGAATGACTTCGACCCAACTACAGTAAGTGTGAAACAAGCTCTGCTGTGTCCAATCACAAGACATCTCCCAGAACAGAAAAAACAACGACACTTGATAATTACACACTGCACCTGTAATTTCTCAGATTAAAAAAGTGAAGGAGCAATGAAGACTTACAACTGCTAATAGCTAATAATTTACATACATACAAATTCATTCTTTTTGACAAAGTACCTGAAGCAGCAATTCTCTAGAGTACCTGCTAGCAAACTAAGAGTATATTGTAAGAGCAAGTTTTAAGTCTCATAATTAGTGTCTCTACCACTTGCCCCACTTCACATGAACAGATTTGTGGTTTGCTTTTTTTTTTTGGTTTGGTTTGGCTTTGTGTTGTTTTTTGTTTTAAACATAATTTTCACTTATCTGGCATGTTGTACACTGATTTCTAATGAAATAATGAACTTTCCAATAAGCTTTCAGATTTTTACATGGCACAGCGTTCCTAAGGCAAGTGATATACTTGAATCTCGGAAATATTTCTATCAGCTTCAGGCATGTGGAAAAAAAACAGTAACATACCCTTGCTGTGCCAGTCTGAGACCCATAGAAAATCTTTACACCAGCAACATAGACCTCCTTCGCCTGCAGGGCAGCATATCCATTTGCTTGTTTTTCTTCTACGACTTCAGAAGACAGATTCCCATTGGATTTTTCACCCTGTGAAAAAAAAAAAAAAAAAAAAAAAAAACATTGTCTCATTCAATCCTTTTAAGTGTCCTTAAGTCCATTTTCCCAAAAGCGTTTAAAATCCTAAGCCAGTAACCAGCCTCCCAGCACTATGCCAACACAACAGTCAAAGCATTTTAGCTTCTCACACATTCCTAGAGAAATGCATTCGTGACTATTCCACTGAACTAGGCCATGCTGCAAGCCCATCTCACACATCAGGGAGACAGCAGGATTCAGCAGAACCTGAGAAGTGATTCTTCCACCCTGTGCTGCAGAACTTCACTTGTGTGTGAGAAGGTTTTAGCTTCCTGAATGAACTAATCACACTCCAATCCTAAAACCAGTTCAATGTTTTCATTAAGGTCACCAGAAAGGCTAACCTGAAACACTGGACACAAGCAGAGTGACTTACATGAAGTGACAGAGCTGTCCAGGCTAACACTTTTCCAATGCAGAGTGAGAAGTTTTCAGGCAAGATCTGCTCTAACCTCAGAGCAGCACTGATGGCTAGTTACCCATGCCCACAGCACAATCCAGGCTAACTGTAACTGTCAGGTAAACTAAACCACACTTCGGATTTACAACAACCAAGGTGGGCCCGCAGCAAAGTGTGGCATTTCACTGCACCAGTGGGTACCTTCACCTGGCACCTACCACTTCCCACGCACAAGTTTTGGGTTTTTCTCAGACAAATGTGCTGAAGTCTCCAGTTACCTTCTTTTTGGTGGTGAAGAGCTGGACAGCAATCCAGAGACTAATCCCAAAAGCAATAACAGAATAGATGTAAAATCTGTGCAGCCATAAGGATGCCAGGCAAGTGTAGGAAAAGTTCCACATATCCATTCAGACATCTAAATCTAGAATAAATCACAGATTTAGCAAAAGCAAATTCCTTCGGTATGAATTTAGAATAAGCACACAAAAAAGTCACACCACACCCACAGATTCATGCCATCAGCTATTCTCAGGCTCTGCAGAAAACAGCTTCTGGCTGAAGACACAACACTACAGCTGAATCAGTGACCTTCACCTTCTCAGTAGTGCGTACCTGCCTACCTAAACTAAAATTTTAGACCATCACACTGCAATGCCGGGCTTCTCTTACCTAGGACAGGTTCTGTCCCAAGGAAAGGCAGGAAATACTTGTGCAGCACCGCTGCCTGAAAGTAAAGTAAAACATCCTTGTTAAACATCAATTGCATCTCACAGGCCTTGGCTTTCCATAGACCCAACACACACAGATCTCTGGAGCTGTAAAATCCCATGTCAAGGGGGAAATCACTCCCCAGAGCTAACAGCAGAACACAGCCCTGGCTTGCACACACAAGGTGCTACACGGATTACAACGACAGGTTGGGTACAGAGCATCGAGGCCAGACTCAAATCTGGATTTGGTCACAAGTACTTTCCCAGGGTTATATCATGTGGGTGAGGTTTCATTTGGAACAGTGAAAATTGTTCTGAGCTGGCTTTAAAACTCCAAGGGGTGCTGCTTGTGTGGCCCCTGTGATTACTTAACGGGTATGAAACATTCAAGAGCTTCAAGGAGGCTCATCTGCAACACGTTACTGCCCAAGAAGCACCGAGCGTGACAGCTGGTGAACCTGCAGGCCTCCTGCACCCTGCTTTGGCAGGCGTCTAACAGGAGCGGGAATGCAGAAAGCCTGAGGAAGCTGGAAGCTTTATCTTCGCTCTCCCCAGGCTGCCGCTCGTAGCAGGAGGTTAAAGCCCTCCTTCCCCTCGGCCAGCGACACCCAGCCCCCCAGAGAAGCGGGGTGAGGGGACCCCGCTCCCGGCCAGCCCCGTGCCACAGGTGGCTGCCGGGCGCTGCAGGCAGGGAAGGCCTCCAACACCCCAATAATTACCCCACCGGAGCCCCCTATGCTAATTACCCCATTAATTATTCCACTGAAGCCCCTCATACCAAGTATCCCAATAATTACCCCCACTGAAGCCCCCCTGCACTAAGTACCCCGATAACCACCCCACTGAAGCACCCCCACGTGCTGATTACCCCCACTGAAGCCCCCCCGCGCTAATTACCCCAATAACTACCCCACTGAGCCCCCTCCCACGCTAACTGCCCCACTAATTACCCCACTGAAGCACCCCCACATGCTAATCACCCCCACTGAACCCCCCCCCCCCCCCCCTCACGCTAATTACCCCCACTGAAGCCCCTCCCCGCGCTAATTACCCCAATAATTACCCCACTGAAGCCCCCCCACATGCTAATTACCCCCCCCCGAAGCCCACCCCCACCACTAATTACCCCGCTGAGTGCCCCCCCCCACTCCCCGTACCTCCTCTCTCCCCTCCGCTCGCGGCCCCCACGCGGCGCGGCCCCGTCCCCTGCCCCCTCCCCTTCCGCTTCCCTCCGGCCGCCATTTGCCGGCCCTGCCCCTCCCCGCCCCTCGCCGCGGGGCCGCGCTGCGCAGCGCTGTGGCGGTGTCTGTGTGTGTGTTTGTGAGGGTTCCGCCATGTCCATCTTCACCCCCACCAACCAGATCCGCCTCACCAACGTGGCCGTGGTGCGGGCGCGGCGCGGGGGGAAGCGCTTCGAGATCGCCTGCTACAGAAACAAAGTCATGGGCTGGCGCAGCGGGGCGTGAGTCCGGGGGGGGGGGGGCTGCAGGGCCTGGCTGCGGCGGGGCAGGGACCGGCAGGGGGGCGGCTGGGAGCGGGGAGGCGGCGCTGAGGGGGCTCCGTGGGGCCCGGTTGTGGGGTGGGGGGGATCCTCCGAGATCCTCCGGGCTCCCCTGGGCCGCCCCGGGTCTTGTCAGCGGGCTCGGCCCTGCCCTCGCCCCGTCCCCGCCGCTCCCTGACACTGCTGTTGGCCGGCAGGGAGAAGGACCTGGACGAGGTGCTGCAGACGCACACGGTGTTCGTCAACGTGTCCAAAGGGCAGGTGGCGAAGAAGGAGGATCTGGTGCGGGCCTTCGGGACGGATGACCAGACGGAGATCTGTAAGATGGTGGGTCCCGTGCCTCATAGCGCGGCTTGTCCTGGCTTGCATAAGAAACACTGTGACCAGCAGGGCTAGGGAGGTGATCGTCCCCCTGTACTCGGCTCTGGTGAGGCCGCACCTCGAGTACTGTGTTCAGTTTTGGGCCCCTCGCTACAAGAAGGACATCGAGGTGCTTGAGCGGGTCCAAAGAAGGGCGACGAAGCTGGTGAGGGGCCTGGAGAGCACGTCCTATGAGGAGCGGCTGAAGGAGCTGGGCTTGTTCAGCCTAGAGAAGAGGAGGCTCAGGGGTGACCTTATTGCTCTGTATAAGTACATTAAAGGAGGCTGTAGAGAGGTGGGGGTTGGCCTGTTCTCCCATGTGCCTGGTGACAGGACGAGGGGGAATGGGCTAAAGTTACGCCAGGGGAGTTTTAGGTTAGATGTTAGGAAGAACTTCTTTACCGTAAGGGTTGTGAGACACTGGAACGGGCTGCCCAGGGAGGTGGTGGAGTCACCATCCCTGGGAGTCTTTAAAAGACGTTTAGATGTAGAGCTTAGGGATATGGTTTAGTGGGGACTGTTAGTGTTAGGTCAGAGGCTGGACTCGATCTTGAGGTCTCTTCCAACCTAGAAATTCTGTGATACTGTGATTGGTGCAGCCGGGGGTCCTGAACGCCGCGCAGACGTGGGAGGTTGGTTGGTGGACCTCTCACGGCGTGGCTGTAGGTGAAATTGTTTGATAAGAAACATGGAGAGAGGGGTGGTGGATCTTTGGTATAGTCTCAAATGTACGTTCATCTGAGTCTTCTGCGTAGCATACAGCCTTCATGTGCTGATCTCTTCAGACCCAGGTGAGCCTTGAAGAATTTACCATCAAAGATTCACCACGAAGGATGCGGAGAAAAGGATATTCACTTATTTTGGAGAGTTCAACTAAATGTTAAAGCAAATCTAGTTTCTTCTTGGCATGTTGCAGACTGTGGGCTTGCTGTGGGTGATGACAGTTTAAGTAAACCTGTGCCTTTCTTTTTGTAATTCAGTGCTTCTGTAGTGTTTCTTGGTTGTGGGTTTTTTTCTGACATCTTTCCAGTGTTGTCTGTTGTAACAATATACATTCTTAATTTGTTTGTGTTTTTTTTTCCTGCATTTTGTGTCTAACCAAACCATTAAAGCAACTGTTAAATCTGTCATGCAAGGGTTTTCAATTTTTAGCCAGATCTGCAACACTTACTAACCAATTTAATTTTAACTGCAGATTTTATCAAAAGGGGAGTTGCAGGTGTCAGACAAAGAACGACAGACGCAGCTGGAGCAGATGTTTAGAGACATCGCAACTATTGTGGCTGACAAATGTGTGAATCCTGAGACAAAGAGGCCGTACACAGTAATCCTTATAGAGAGAGCCATGAAGGATATTCACTACTCCGTCAAACCAAACAAGAGCACAAAGCAACAGGTTAGTATTCACTCAAAATCAGCTTGTGCTCAGAGGTGTTGTCAACAAGTGTAACTTTTCTATGAGCATTCACATAGGAATGAAAACAGCCTTGTGGTCAAAAGCTGGCAGAATGGATTAGTTGGCTGGCTGGCAGCTGAATGCTGGGTACAAGCAGCTTCTGAAGCTCCTGTGGTTTGTTTTTTAACTGTTTGGTGAAGGGAGAAAGAAAAAAACTAATTAAAGCAGCATCAGTGATATGCCTGGAACAGAAATAAATGTTTTATGATTTATTTCAAGTGAGGTGGTAAATCAGTCCGTACATCTGAGCCATATGAGTTTCTAGTGTTCTGTAGTATAACTGTCATTTAACATTATTTCCTATTTAACATTCTTTCTGGTGTGTTTTTTCAGTATTTGATGTGACCACCATCAGCTCTGCCTTTAGTCTAGCAAACTAGTGTAACTGCAATCTCTTCCTGCAGCAGAGTGCTAGTGAACAGTACTGAGAAGTGTCTGAGGCTAGTGCAGAAAAAATGAGGTTTTGATCTGTGTGGCCTTTTTAAGCAAGTGAGTAAATGCTCTTTCTTCTTTCTTCAATGTCTCTGCAGGCACTGGAAGTGATCAGACAATTAAAGGAGACCATGCAAATTGAACGTGCTCACATGAGGTTACGATTTATTCTTCCAGCAAAGGAGGGGAAGAAACTCAAAGAGAAGCTCAAGCCACTGATTAAAGTTATTGAGAATGAAGACTTCCACGATCAGTTAGAAATTGTAAGCAGTAAAGCAGACCTTGGGTTTCATACTTGATTTGACTATACCATACTACAGCAAGAATTAGTATAGGGAAGTTGTTTAGATAAACTGCAAGGGTGCCGCAGATTCTAAATCAGAGTCATGGTTTGTAGTCTTTAACGTCACACAGTCGTACTGAAAGCTTGAAAGTAGCCTTTAGTTTACAGAGATTGCAGGTTCAGACTGAGGGGAAGCACAGTGTAGTTTCTCTAGCAGTGATTTTCCTATAAAATACCTAAGTTTCTCTACATGTATGGAATTCTTCTGTTAATTACTTGGTGGATTTTGACAATAGTTAATTATTTAAAAAACAGTTTGTGGTAAAGCAAAATTTGTAATTGGTAAGAATCTTTGAGAACAAATTAGAATCTAGCAACCTAACTGTCGAAACCATCATGTCCAGCACGCTGAATGTACTGGAAATGCAAAACTTCTTTGATAAAAACTTTTGATTAAAATTGCTTATCAATTCTGCCAAGTCCCTATAGTAACAAAACAATACCTTTCTTTAAATGAAAATGAATTTTAGATCATGAAAAGTTGTTGATGAAAATTGAGTATTATTGCTTGACTGATTCAATGTGAAATATTTCAGGTGTGCCTTATTGACCCAGGCTGCTTCAGAGAGATTGATGAGCTGATCCGATGTGAGACAAAAGGGAAAGGAACGCTGGAAGTGCTCAGTCTGAAGGATGTGGAGGAAGGAGATGAAAAGCTTGAATAACAAAAACCTTCTTGATGCAGTACTACTTTAACGGCATTCAACGGAATGACTGGCGTTAGCCACTCTTTTCCGTTAGGCCTTCTTGTTTTTCCAATCTCTTGCTGCCAAATACTTTCTGACACTAATCCTTTGGGATTTTTCCATGCAGTGTGTTTTTTTTATCATTTTACACTTGCTTGGTTTGCCTGTAGGAACATTTTGTGTCAAAGTTGCACTAATGAGGATTGAGTTAAGACTTGATATGGAAGTTACTATGGCTTTGGTGTACTTTAAGAATTGCTGATGAGGAGTGTTTGACTGTTATGGCACCAATCAGTTTTGCTTAAATTGTCAGTGATGAGTGGAAGATTGCATATGTCACCGAGGGGTGGGTGTTGTACGTGAGGAGAGGAACCTTTGGAAAAGGGAGATGCATTTTCACTTTCAAAGAAGTGCAAAATGTGGATCATGTGTAAACCAATCTCTTGGCAGCATGAAAACTCACCTATACTTCCATAATTGGCTGCTCAATAATTACAGTAATTTAAAGGACCATTCTTGTAGATTTTCTTCACTGGATATAACAGCACTCACTAACTTTAAAAAAAAAAATTCTCCAAATAACTTATTCATAAAATCTATTTAGTTACATTGATAAAAATGAATTATCATCTATTTATATATTATAGATACAGAAAGAAATAAAATAATTATTTTTGTTATAGCATAGGAGGTATCCCTGGCTGTGGTGATGCTTTTCATAGGCTGGAGGAGCAGCCTGCATTTCTGAGCTGTTCTCATTCACGCAATGAAATGAACCGCATCAGTAGCCTCTGGCCATTGCGCTAGACAGGCTTTTTGTTGGGCTGGAATTCCCTCGTGGTAGCTGTGTGTATGTGTGCCTTTTCGTTTGAGTTTGATGCAGAACAATGCTTGCAGCTGTCCTTTATCCTGTGTCTCTTTATGCTGCTTTCTAACACATGCAGAATTTCCAGCCAGCTCCTGAGGCACAGTGTATAGTTCTTCAAGTTTGTTAAAACTTGTCTCAAATGTATTAAACAAATGCTTTTTAACTTGCATATGTCAAAGAAGAGGGAAAAAGAGGATGAAAACTGGAGAAAGAGGTATGAAAAATACCCCCAGGCCAAGCAGATATTCTTGGGAGACTGAAAGCCAAGTCAGCAGGAATTTAAGGGGAGCCTTTAGTGTTACTTTCCTGTTTCCATGCTGACAGTATGCAGCAAATCAGGATTTGCAGGGCGGCCAGCTACTATATCTCTGTTTCAGATAAGCATGTGGTCCATTAATTCTGTGGTGTTTACTTCTGGAGCGTGTGACCACACCTCTTAAATGACAATTAAACAGACCTCTAGGTTGTATTTTTCACATGACCTTTTGCTATGTACCATTAAAAGATGATGTGAATCTTCTAGATTTCATGCAGGGAAAGATAAAGTCAACTGGAGAAAGATTTGATATGTCTGGTGCAGAGGAGCCCACGTGTCTACATCCTTGGTCAAAGGTTTCTTCTCTGAAGTTGATTTCTGCAGCAGCCTGTTGACATGAACTTGTTGTGCAAGGCTGGTTTCAATTTCTTCAGTAATGTTTTGGGAGGACTTGCTGCTAGGGAGCCTGAGTTCTGCTGAAGGGTTATGAAATGGAGATTCTTGAACCATTGTATCCATCTTTAAATGCTTTCTGTTGTCCCCCAAGATAATCTTCCATCATGTTTAATGCTACCTAGGAAGGTTTAGTGGCTTAATTACTGTATTTGTGAGGTGGACACAACTTAAGCATGGAGAGCTGGAAGTGCTTGGTTAGATAGGCAAAATTCCTCATATATACAAGCCCATAGCTGATTGTCTTTCAAATGGCCATCTCTGCATTCACAATTTATGAAGCACTGAGGATGATGTTGATATTTAACTTGTCACTGGTACTTAGAACTAACATGTAATTCATAAATCTGCAAAGGAGACACTGAGCAAAAGCCTCAGATGACATTGTGTTGGTAATATTTGATTTTGTAATTCTGTAATTTCTCTGTTTTATATGTTCAACACCTAGAGCACAGTAGGATGGCTTGAGTTACAGAAGCTTAACCTAAGCTGATTTATGAGCTTGGTGCAAGAAAGTCAATTTCCTTATAAAGTCTTTTTCTACAGATCAAATGTTAAAGGTTCTCTGTGGTAGAGGGAGCTTGGTTTTATTAATAAACATGCGTGCATTTCTTAACATGTTTGCAGTTCAGCAAGAATGTATGGTAAGCATCAGAATAAATACCAGTATTGATAGCTGTTCTTTCTATTTTCAACTTTTGCCCATTTCTATGAGGAACATAGTCGTTTCCTGACTAATTAACTGAAATTTCCGAAGCAACATACAATGTAGTGTATGAAGTAAGCTGGCAGCTTTGAGGTAGTGGGCGTGGATACACATGCACACATTTTTTTCCCTGAAATTTTCCTCAAAAACTTAGTTAAACAGATTTTTGATCTTCTGCATGTTGCTATTCTTTTCAGTTGTGGTCTTTCTGTTGAGGGAGAGATTCAGTTTCATGGGGATCTGTGAAAACCTGTAGGTGGCAGTGATTGGTCTGTAACCCATGAGTTTCAATGACACTGAATTACTCCAATTAAGACCAGTATTTCACCACTTGCAAGCTTTATGTAGAGGCAGTGCTTGTGATGGGGTTGGGTTTCACAAGTGGGTGATAGGAACTGAGGCTAGGAGGGAGAGGAGCAGAATGTAGTAAATTAACAGGTAATTACTCGTCTTTCCTGATACAACAGCTACCCCTAAACCATCCTGGTAGGATTCCTGACCCAACCTTTATACAGCTGTGAGAAGCTCCTCGAAGAACGTACCCCTTCTGGATGTACCTGATTCCTGGCAGGGCTTGGAGCATTTGCAGGGCTGGGGAGGTTGGAACTGCCGTAGCCACGGTGATGGGACACTCAGCGTGGTCCAGCTGGCTGCCCAGCCTTTGGAGGGCTCGGTAGTTGGTAATTGCACAGTGTTCAATCCGTCGTCCCCTGCAGAAACGCAGAGGGGGCTGTGAGTGGCTGTGGCCATGCCGTAGGGGCAGGTGGCAGCCAGGAGGTGCAGGGCAGCCAGTGTGGGTGTGTGGTGCCTGGAGGAGCCGCGGTGCCAGTTCCATCCGAGGTCACAGGCCAGCAGTGGCACCACCGGACAGAGGGGCAGCAGCAGCTGCTGTGTGCACTCCGAAGCTCAAGGCCAGACCGCTAGCACCATGCAGAGCCGCAGGGCAAACATCAGCCAGCAGACCCAGGAGCTGCGCAACATCATCGCCTTGCAAGGTGCTGCTCCTTTCGGCCTCGCGGGCACAGCCTGGTGTTGGGGGCCCTCGGTGCCGGGATGTGGCAGGGATATGGGATGCGCTGGGATGTTGGCCTCCTGCATGGCACCCAAAGCAAATGGGTGGCAGCCCCACCGGGATGGGGCCTGCAGTGGCTGCCTGGTCCCCTGAGCAATGTGACCCCCTGCAGAAAGGGGCCATCAGGTCCCCGGGGGGATGCTCCCTTCCTGCTCAGTGGGAACAGCCAAGCATGTGGCTGCTCAGGCACTGGGGAGGCAGGATTTGGCCTGATGTCTTTTGTCCCTGCCTGGCTCTTTCCCACTGCCTGAGCCTCTGGGACAGAGAGGATGCCTTTGTGCAAAAGGGGCCAGCAGCAGTGGGTGAGGATAGGCTGTCCTGTGCCAGAGACTGGGGACAGGACATCATCCTGCATGGCACCAAGAGCACTCTAATGTCCTCTAGAGCAAGGGAAGAAGTTTTTCACACAGTCATCTGAGGAAAAGCTCAGCCAGAACAGAGATCTGCTCCCACAGCTGCGCGGGATGGTGCAGGAGGACGTCCATGCCCTGGGCATTGCCCAGAAGGTACCTGCAGATCCCCTCAGCTGCACCCCTGCTCCTCTGCTGGGTCTCTCCAGGAGAAAACACTAGCCTTATGGGACAATGGTAGGATGTGACAGTCCCCAGCCTGGCACGGATGTTTTCTCTGCCCTTTCCTACCCACAGCGTGACCAGCTAATCATCTCCGAGGCTTGCAGAGCACAGAAGAACTTGGACATCGTTTTGGCTGGCAAAACGGTGGAGGTAGAGGGCAGGGCCTGGCTGGCACTGGCTGCTGGCAGGGGTTGGGAAGGGACACTTTTAGGAGCCTTTGGGCCAGCAGCCCCCCAGTGGTGGCTGTGAGACCTGGGGTGTTCACAGGTCCCTTCCCATCAGAAACACTCTGCAGCTGCAGTGTGTGGACACCAGTACCCACCTCTGTCCTGCCCCACCTCCAGGGCAAAGCTCTCCCATCCTCAACCCTGCCACAGCAGTGGCCATGTCCCAGTGTCCCCGGGTCCCCAGCTCTGCTCTGGAATGAGTTTCCCAGGCAGGTCCCCATCCCCTCCCCACGTGCCCATCCAGGGTGCCCGGGAGAAGCTCCAGAGCAGCATCTTTGAGCGGGTGAACGCCTGCAACGCGCTGCTGTACGAGGTGAGGCGGCGTGGCCAGACCCAGGACGAGCTGCAGCAGCGGCTGCAGCAGCTGCTGGATGTCAAAATCGATGACAAGCGGATCCAGGAGCAGGTGCAGGTACATGCCACTCCTTCCCCATCCCGAGCTCCCCGGGCTCGGCACACTGTGCCACCCCATGTCCTGCCCCACAGATGATTCGCCAGCTGGAGAACAGCATCGAGAAGATGCTCATGAAAGTCCGCACTGGGCAGAAGGTGACCCTGCTGTACCTGGCGGTGAAGGATGTCCTCAAGAAGGTGGGCTGCCCCTCGCTGTCCCAGCACGCAGCACTGCGATGGACGTGCCCTGCGGCTGGGCTCTGCCTCGGGCCATCTGCTGAGGTTGACTTGGCACGGAACCCAGAGAGGTGACGCAGGGTGGCTCCGTGTGTCCCAGGAGCTGGCCTACCTGCCTCTGCATCTGGACCTCCTGCACGGGATGGCCGGGGTGTACCATGGGGAGCTGGAGGACATGGAGCTCATGGCTTTGGATGCCCTCAAAGCCAATAACATAACCAAGGTGAGGAGCTGGGGGGCCTCTTCCTTCCATGCTTGAAAGCCCACAGAGGTCCAACAAAAACAGCCCCATGTCCCCAGGCTGGTGCATCTTCCTGCAATAAATTGCAGGACTGAGCTGGACCTGCCCACAACAAGCAGGTGCCTCTACAGCTCCTCCAGCATCCTGCTCTCTGTGGCCCTGAGGCTGGGGACAGCCTGCCAGGAGCACTGGTGATGTTGAAGCCAGCCTACTCCAGCCTCCAGCCCTCCGTGCCCTCCATACTCATTTCCTATATAGCCCAGGAGGTCAATTTTGGCCATGGAGACCAGCTGGCCCACAGAGGTCCTTCCCAGCTTTGACAGCCATTTATCCCTTCTCTCTGACTCTAATGTGCTCCAGGAGGAGCTGGCCAAGCTGGAAAGACAGTTCCTCGCGGAGAGGGAGCTCAGGCATCGCACCCTGGCAGCCCAAAAGGTGCAAATCGACCGACTTTGGCTCAAGGGCGCAAGTGAAAAGCACTTGAGAGCGGTGAGCTGGTGGGAGCTGGGGCAGGGGGCAGTGCTGAGAACTCCTGGGGTGGGCGTGCTGCAGGGCCACCCTCCCCAGGTGCCAGCAGCTCGGGGTCACAACGAGTGTCCTTGCAGCAAGCCAGGTATGACCTGGCCATGGACTTCCCTGCCCTGCTGCCCCAGGACTCGCTGATGGGTGAGTGCCTGGAGGGGTGGAGGTGCCAGGGAGCCCGAGGAGGAGGAGGCCTCCTTCCTTCCCTGCTCCTTTCTTCTGCCCAGGCTCCAAGCTGGAGGCCACCAAGTCCCAGATCCAGCATGAGGCCCAGGTGACAGCAGAGGTGGAGAAGGCCAAAGCTGCGGTGCAGTGCTCCCGCCTCTGGGTGAGGGATAATCCCACCCAGGAAACACCCAGCCATGGGGAGCTGAGACTGCTCTGCCCACGGCTTCATCGAGGGGCTCTTCTCCCGAGCCCCCTGAAGCCCTTCTTGCTCCATGGTGCTGACCCCCTGAGCCCTGTGGGCTGAGTCCTCGCGCTGTGCCCCGAGCAGGATATCACGGGCAGGCTGCTGGCACAACAGAAGTCCACGGCGGAGCTGGAGCAGCACATTGGGGCATGCGAGGAGAAGAGGCAGGCACTGAAGGCCACGCTGAAGGACTTGGAACTGAAGCAGGCAGAGCTGAAGTTTCGCCAGCCCCCAAGTGCCATCAGGTGCTGCTGGCCTTGGGCTGCAGAAAGCCTCCTGGGGGCCCAGATCTGGGTCCAGCCCATCCCTGGGGAGCAGGGACACATCCTCCTGCTGCTTGGTCACTGGGACACCTGTGTCCCAACAGGCCACCCTGCCTCTGTCCCCCTCAGCTGCCCACCCCTCCTATACCAGGGCCTGTGTTCAGCAGGGTGCTCCCCACTTTGGTCCCGGCAGAGCACCCAAAGCCCCCCCTGGGACAGCAGGGACATGGGGCGAGGAGGGATGTGTGAGGTCCTCCTGTCCAGCACCATGGTGATGGCAGGACCTGAAGCCGTGCAGTGGAGGTGCCTCTCAGACCCAGCCTGCCCCAGCAGGGCATGTGGAGGACATGTCTTTCCTGCCAGGCCTGAGCTACAGTGCAGGCAGCGTCCACTCCACAGTGTGGGCCCACCTGGGCAGCTTTTGCAACACTTTTGGGGTCTCTCTGCCTGGGAGCACCCATACAGACATGTGTGGGTCTGGTCAGCTGTAGGAGGCTGGAGACAGAGCTGAGGACGAGCCTGCAGCAGGAGGAGGCCCGGTTGGAGCAGGCGCGAGCCCAGTCTCTGAGGAACCAGGAGCTCCTGCTCCTGTTTGAAAATGGCATTGACAACCTCTTCATCCGCCTGTATGGCATCGATGTACCCGAGCAGGTACAGGGTGCAGCGAGGAGCTGGGGACCAAACTGCCACCAGGAGCAGGCCCTGCCTATCCCCTCCATGTGTCCCCTCCCCAGAGCATGACCCATGGCAGTGCTACGGGGCATCCCCGTGACACTTTGTGCTGCCACTATCACCCCAAGCAACTCATAATCCGTGTCAACGTTGTTCTTCCCTCTGGCCCCAGGATGTCTCCGTCGAGCTGAAGGGGGTGGATGAGAAGCTGCAGTACTGTGAGCAGAAGCTGCAGCACCTGGTGCAGCGAGTGGCCTCCCTGCCTGCCCCCAGCTACAGCCCTGATGAGGACAATGAGGTGTGCAGGGGCCCTGTCCCTGGTCTGGTCTCTGGGGCCCTGCATGTGGCTCCTCCGGGTGGCCTGTCCCAAGGTGTCCTCCATGCTGGAGGTGGCCCTGAGGCAGGGCCAGGGTAGTGCTGGATGCTGCAGGGGGACCCCTTCCCCAGGGGGATGGTGAGGTGGGACACCCCTCAGGTTGCAACAGCTGCTACTCCTTCAGCAATTACCCCAGAGCATCTTTTGCAGATTTTTGTGAAGGTCAGGAATTTTCTGGAGAAAACAACTGCGAGAGAGCCACAGAACCTGAAGATTTCCTTGGAGGACATAGGCTCTGCAGTCCACGGTAGGAGAACACAGGGACAAGTCCCACAGCAACTGCCCCAGCCCACGGGACTTCTGGGGGTCCTGTTTTGCCTCTCACTGTCCCAGCAGACCCCAGCTCATGAACTGTCCCAGCAGACCCCAGCTCATGAGCTGATCCCAACCCATGCGCTGTCCCCAGACCCTTGGTGCTGGCCAAGGCTTTGAGCATGGGTGGTCATTTTTGGTGGGTATGGGGGAGAACAAAGGCAGCTGGTGGGGTGGTGAGTGCTGAACCACATCAAGAGGTGCTGTTGGTCTTCATCAGCCAAATGGGGGTCTCCTAAATCACCTGGTAGGGAAGAATGACCAGTGCTTGTCTCTGTCTGTGGCCTCCTCCTGTTAGATGCTCTTAGAGGAGATGGAGTGCTCAGCAGCTCACCACCTCTTTATTCACAGAGGGAGCTGTGGCCACCATCTCACAGCTCCAGACCTTTACAGGAAGCCCCACCAGTGACAGAGATGAACCACTGGGGTGGGGGTGGCATTGCCAGGGGATGCTGAGGATGGAAAATCTAGTTGACAGTGCCTGTGCTGGAGATGCTACCAGCCCTCCAAGACTTGGAGGCTCTCCCTGGAGACAGATATGGTGGAGGTGGCCTCCCAGCCCCACTAAGCCCATTTGTTCCTGTTCTCTCCCACAGATCCCTTTGATTTTGCTGACAAAGACCATGGCCTGGTTCTCACCCGGGAGGACATCAAGAAGCAGGGGCTGCACTTGATCGAAAGCAAGATGAAAAGTGGCAAGAGGAAGTAGTGGTCGCTCCCCCAGAGCTCCTGATGCCTTAGACCCCCCCCGTGCTGTTTTCCCAGCAGGTTTAATAGAGCAGAGCTTTTTCATCCCTCCCAGGCTTGTGGTAAGGCTGGAAGGGGGCAATGTGGGAGGTGGTCTTGTCCTGCTGCCCTCACCTGCTGCTCGCCCTGCAGAGCTGGGGACATGCTGTGGTGGGAACAGCTTTCCCCCCGGAGCAAAGCCATGGGCAGGCTGGCTTTCTTCACCCTTGATTCTGTAGGGCCAGTTTCACCATGGGGCCTCTGCCCCCCACCCCAAAAGGCTATGCAGAGAGTCAAGGCCATGCACTGGTAGGACAAGAACAAACAGGTAGAGACACCTAGGCATGCATGCAGGTGCCCAAGAAGGCAGCATGCCTTGAAGTCATGCACTGAAGCATGGAAGAAAGCTGCCTGTGATTGATTTAATCCCATGGTGGCTCCTTGCAGGAGGCTGGGTGGTGGCATGGCAATGATGGATGGGGACACGGCAGCTCAGGAGGGTTAGTACCACCTACAAAGAGTCCCAGAGCTGCAAAGCACCAGGTCACACTTTTGGTTTTTTTTGGTGAGGTTCCAGAGTAGGAGCTGACCTAGCCACTGGGTTAGATTTAATGGGATTTCACTAGGCAAAAGGCCACCACACATGGACCTGTTTGTAAGATGTTCTCACTGTCCCATGGGTCTGAGGCGGCTGGAGGGAAGCATACGGGTGGTGGGGCAGCCTAGGTGGGCATGGCAACTCTGGACACATGCATGGGAAAGGAGGGACAGATCCTGCCTCGAGAAGGAGGAACCAAACATCAGATGAAGCCCCTAGACTGGAGCTGTCCAACCTCTTCTTGGACCTCTTGTGCCTCTTCCCTCCCCTGTTGCTTGCACACACGTCATTCAGCCCCTGCTGACAGCCCTGAACTCCAGGCATCAGCTCTGGGCTGCAGGGAGGTGCCTGGAGATGGCTTCGAACCCAGTGGGACCTGGAGAGCAGAGGATGCCCTGCCAAGTGGTGGTGGGTCATAGACACCTGGCCCTACCAGGACACATCATCTCTGCAAGCAAAGGCACACATAAAACAATGCTGCAAATAGATGGTGCTGTTTCCCCAAATACAGCCAGCACCAAGGGCTTCTGGCAGGGACCTGTAGTCCCTTCTGGTGACCCAGAATCTGGTGACACCACATCCCAGCCCACAGGGGGACAGCGGCACTGTCATTTCCACGTGGTGCCTGCACTTGGTGCTGACATCACTTGTGATTTCATTGCTGTGCAGAAGGGAATGACTTGTTTTGCTGAGCCTCCCAGGGGACAGGCAGGTCACACCAAGTGTTCTTGGTGGGTTTTGTGAGACTGCAGTTATAGAGAATATATTGCAAAAAGCACAGTCTATTTTGCCTTTAAAAGGAAGCTCCAGAAATAGCACAATTTGCCAGTGAAGGCATCTAATGGAGCTTTTCAGAATCAATAGCCACATAGGCACGCTCTTCTGCATAATTACACCTGCCCTGTTCTCACGTGCTCACCACAGCCAGGGTGTGTGGTTTGGGGTCTGGACCAAAAAATAGTCTGCAATCTAGGGGCAAAGCAGGTGGCAGGGCTGGATGGTGCTGGACCACTGAAACCATATCTACGGTCTCCACACCCAGGGGTCTGAAGAGTTTTAGCCAGGCTGTACTGGTGGGCTCTATTCAAATAGAGAATTGGGAAGCCAAATACTTGCACAACAACCCCAACTTGAGCAGAAAACATTTCTGCTTTTTGTGTAGGGCCCTGTCTCCAGAGCCTAGCAGGCTGGTTTTGAGATTGGTATGCACCCCACAACACTGGGGTGACACAGCTGCAGTGGTGGCATTGTTGATGAGAAATCACGGAAAATCCACCCACCCATGGGTCTGTTCCTTCTTTCTTTCAAGGCCGTGTAAGTGGCTGCCCAGCAGTTTTAACTACAATGGGGCTTCGGGAACCAACAGGAACTCCAGTGTTTGCTTTTACAAGGTCTAGCACAGCACAAGTATGGAGCATTAATTCTGTCTCAGCTGGCTTAGAAGCAGCACCTCCAGGACACGTCTGTTAGACAGCAGGCACCCCACCACTCAATAAATGGGAGTGGTTTGAAGCTATTTGGTAAAAATAACTTAAACAGATACTTCAGAATTATGCACATAGCTGCTGGGGGTGCTTTCCTCTCAAGAAGCTCCTGATAGCCTCAGGTCCTCCTGAAGGAACTTCCCCCTCCACCCCCCCCAGTCGTAGCTCCCCCAGAAATAGGTGTACACCTATTAAATGGGTGCTGCAGGAGGAAGCAAAGGCTTCCACCTCTGCCCTTGCCAGAAACACCAGGACAAGAGGCGATGAGCCCACGGGCATCTGCCAAAGCCTCAGGCAGCTGAGAAATGCCCCTCTTGGTGGTTATACCACTGAACCCAAGACCCAAAACGAGGTACTGAACAATGAGGAATGTCCCGGTTCCAGGTGATCTGGTAGCCTGGAAGCTGAGGAGGAGAGGAGCAAACTGTAAGTGTTTTGTAAAAAGTGAAGGGTGGCTTTTTAGAGCACAGTGATGGTGCTTTGTCCCTTGCACTCAGTCCTGATGCACAAAGGAGCAGGAAAGAGCACTGGAAAGCTCTGGAGAAGATCTCCCATAGCCTGACACATTTCCTCTCCCTCCTCTTCAGCCTCCAAAAGGCGTCTGGTGAGGGGCAGAGCCATACCGCTCAGCTAGGCCAGGGCCTTCCTTCAGCTGGGTTCAGTGCTGAGGAAAAAGTTTCAAGCTCTTGCTCTGGTTTTTCTATTCTGGATGTGAGAAAGAGAGAAACCACAGAACGTGTTGAACACTTCTTCATTTTCTGGAGAACTGGGGCTGTGTCCCGCCCTGAGGAGTATGAGGCGGTTCTGGGGCATGACGGCACGCTGCAGCTACCGAAACCACCAGGTCTGGAGAGGAACTTACAGAGGCAACCAGACTCATCACCAGCATCCGTTGGTTCAGATGCAGCATCCCAAACCTTTATCACAGCTAAAAAATAAGAGGAAGGCATGTGGTGCTGCAAGCCAGCAGCTCGTAGGCGCGGAGACAGACCCCAGTGCCACCATGGATGGAGCTGGAGATGGGCTGGGCACAGTTTGGACAGGTGGATCCCAGCCCCCCAATTTTAAACCCCTTCTGACAAAGCAAAGGTGCGAGAGGGAGTGGGAAGGAACCAGAGCAGCGGCTTGGTTTCTGGGTTCAAGATCTGGATGCCCCAGGGCACTGTCCTCACCCCACAGAGGCCATGGGGCAGGAGAACCACGCAGGGGTGCTCCCGGGGGGACAATGTGTCCACCTGGCCACTGGGAGGGAAGGGGTGGTGCTGGCAGGGGGTCCAGCAGGCATGGAGATAACACAGCCCTGGAAGGAGCAGAGAGATTTCCTCTGCCTCCCTGAGAAACGTTTCCTCCCACCACAATTATTGCCAAAGGGCTGGAGAGCTCCAGCATGATTGTCTGCAGGCGGTGCCAGTGCTTGTGAGGGACCTAAAATAGGACATCGGAGAATGCACATCAGAGAATTCACCACACTAAAATATCTCTGCCCTGGAAACACTTGTGGGAAGGCTGGGTTTTGGGTGGGATTGTTTTTTCTTTCAAGGATGTGATCAAAATCAGATGGAATGAAGCAGAACCGAGAGTAGGCACAGGCTGGAACTGTTATCAGAGCCTGAGCACTGGGGTTTTCCTGCTGAGGATGCCAGCAAAGAGCCAGGGCAAAGGGCACCAGGCCAAGTCAGCTGGTTTGGGGCCACAAGAGGCTGTGCTGGCTGCCCTGGGCAGGGCCACCAGGGCAGGGCTGCTGGGGAGCTGCAGGAGGCAAGTTCCTGCATCCAGAGGAACTCAAGCACTTCTCCCTTTCCCTTTCATGTTATAACGACTGCCATTTATGAAGATGACTTTTGAACTTTTTTGACTTTTTTGCTCCCTGAATAGTGACGTGATGGATTCCCCCTGCATCAGGTGTCGGTGGGGTCGCGGTGCACCCTGCGGCTCCTGCTCCATGGCAGGGAGGCTCTGGCCCGTGGCCCCTCTTGCTCCTGGCTGGTGCTGCCTGGGGTAGCCCAAGGTGGCCCCAAAGAGCACGATAAGAGGGGAGAGATCAGTCTTGGCAGCACCAAGCATGTATCCAGGACACTTTCACCATCCAGGAGGGATTGCTCCGTTGTGCACCCCTCCTGCAGCACCAGAGCCTCGTGCCCTACAGAGCGGGTTTGCATCACCTGGGGCTTTGCTCCCAAATACCCCTGTGGGGATACAGCAGGGGCAGCATGGGTGTGGCACAGGCTGGGGTCTGGCACCATTTGGGGCAGTATTGGTGGGGAATGTGCCACACTCTGTGACTCAGGTGGTCTGAAAACTGCAAGCAAGGAGGAGAGTGGCTGCCAGAACCTCAGCCCTGACCCCATCTGCGTGGTCCCACCTTGGGGCAGGAGTGGCTGGTGCGCGCCCCAGCCCTGGCCAGGCTGAGGATGACCAGAAGCAGCCAAAGGACCTGCAGCAGCTGAGGAACAGCAACAAGCATCCAAAGGCAGAACCTCTGCCTGGGCTTCTCCCCCAGCTGGACCACAGAGCTGAGTCCCACCTGTGGGGGATTTGGGGAAAAGACCACCCAAGCTCTCACCCATCTCCCCTGCTAGTAGCTGTGGTCCTTGGGGTGCAGATACAGAGGCAGGAGGGTCTGGATGGCAATGGAGCACAGCTGGGGACAGGGCTTGGAGCAGACCAGAGTGGGGACACCCAGCAAGGGTCCTCTGTGCACCAGGCAGAGGGGTCTAGAGAGAAACCAGCTCACGCTGAAGCCAAACTGGCATAACTGGTCACGTGTGCTCATAGGGGTGATCCAGCCACCATGTGCCATGGGGGCATCGGGGCAGAGCAGGCCATGTGGCGTAGATGCCCCCAGCTCAGGCCCCAGGGGGTCCCAGAAATGCCCAGTGCCAGCAGCACCCACAGCACAGTGTGAGAGGGGGATGAGCCAGCACTGGGCACTGGTCTTTGTGTCCTGGAGAGCTTGGGCAGCTTCCCACCCCCCATCTGGGTGCCCTG